GTTTAAGCTCCTAAATATTAAAGAAGCGGTCTTTAAAAAACCCCAACAACCTCGGATTGTGGTGGAAAAGCTGCTAACTTCATCCAGTTAACTTCCATTAGAAGTTGAGCATGAGGATTAATATTTTTATTAAGTGTGCAACTCCAATAATCATTCCATACTTACTTAATTACCTTTCTGATGATTATGTTTGCAGTCGCTCTGACAATAAATCCGGACCACCAGAACACGCTTACCTCTTCTCCCGCCGGGTCCGACGGCTCGCCTCTAGCACCTTAAACAACACAGTATCTGTAAAGAATTCATTGGTTACACCGGCAGCTGATATTGAAATATTTATTACAGCTTATGAAACCACTGCTTCTATTGTAAAGCAGACCAGAGCATACAGAGCACATCCACTGTTGCTGGGCCAAACGTTTATTTGGCACTAAACTGGACAGAGGGCTAATGAGGGATAGTAACTGATCATTTAAAATTAAAATAAAAAAAAAATAAAAACAACAAAGAAAAACTCGATCGTTGTTTGCAGGTCCTCGGCTGTTATCCATATAAAAGTGTTCCAAGACCCAAAACAGAAACTTTTTGTCGTCGCAGCTACGTGATAAAACCTCAACCAGTCGTTTGTTTGTCGCCGCCGTCACAACTAATGTGAGCCGTGAGGCCGTCCATACAAAAAGGAATAAATAAGAAGCCATAATCAATAATAAAAACGTGTTTGTGCCGCTAAGCTCACGTCCGCCTTCTTTTTAAAAATCTTCTTGTCTTTATTACTGTTCATTTAACAAATAAATAAATATATCTCCTCCTCCTTGAAGAAGAAGAAGAAGAAAAAGAAAAACACTTCCAGTTTCTCTCTCTTTAATAAGTAAAACAGCCCATCTCTCCTCCTCTATACAAGTGCCTGGTGCTCATCAAGGTTCAATTTGTTCTCTTTCTCAGAAGCGTTTCCTGAATGCAGAACGCAGCGCAAACCTTTCTGAGGGACACCTCGCCATTAACTCGGACTGATTTTCTGTCCTTGACGAATCAGAGCTCCTCCTATCTACACAGTAAAAAAAAATAAAAATAAAATAAAAAGAAATCAAACAGAAAAAAGACCCCAAAACAAAAATCTATTCCACAAATACGCGGTGAGTGAGTTCTTGTGATGTTTTCTTGTGTTTATTTTGTTCCTATTTCGATGGTCATTTCTTGGAAAGTGATTTAAAAAAAAAAAAAAAAGAAAAAAGAAAAGAAAAATAAAACCCCAGACTGGAACCAGAAACCCAGAAAGGCCAGCACAACAGAACAAAATTGCTCCTAATCACTACATTTACAGAGACAAAAGGGTTTTTTTGCTCGGAACGAAAAAAAGCATACTATTATGTGCAATGCTAGTTATCTGTACAGTTACATAGAAATATCTCGTAATTCTCTTATTAGTTTTTTCTTCTCCCTCTTTTTAACGACTGTTATTACAGTAAAATGAAAGGAAAAAAAAGAACAGCTATGCTTGAAAGCATACGATCAATAATTCCTTTACGGTAATCGTTCAAAATGTGTGTGTGTCTGTGTTGTTGTTGTTGTCGATTTAGTTTTTTTTGTTTATTTTTTTTTTGTCTTTTTCTTTCATCGAAGGGACACTTCAGCAAACAAAATGTGCTGCAACTCACCAAAGAGGAAGAAAATCTTTCAAAAAGTCAATATAGATACAGAAGTATAATAAAATAGTCCTTTTTTTTTTTCCTTTTTTTTCCATTTTTTTTCCATTTCCTGTTTATTCTGGCGACAGTTTTTCGACTTCGGGGCGATGCAGTTCCTGTTTGACTGTCAGACCTACAGTGTACCTCTGAGACCTAGAAATCCGGTGGTGAGTAATCGTCTGTTTTGACAAAAACACGCCAAACCACGTCGGGTTTGGAGGCTGGAGGGGCGGAGGGGGGGGGAGGAAGGCGGAGGGACACAACATCAACATCCTGTAATGTCTAACAGTCACATATCAGCCCCCCCATGTTCGATTATTATCCTGTTGGCGGTCAATAACAGCGAGGGTCCAGTTATTTCCTCTGCCTCAGTCTTCGGGACACAGAATAAAAAGAAAGGCTACCACTGCCAACGACGGATGGAACGACGGGGACACGGGGGGAGAGTAGAAGGGGTACCGGCTGGGGTGGTGTTTGGGCCTATAGGCTGGTGACCAGGTGCAGGGGCTCCTGGGGGGTTTCCTCTGGGGACAGATCCTCTCTGTTGGGGGGCACGATGAAGCCGTCGCTGCTGCCCCGCCCGAGCTGGTAGTAGGAGTGCAGCTGGTGCAGGTGGTTGCGAGAGCCCAGGTTGGGCATGCTCTTGTAGTAAACGTCGTCCGAGCTGGCCTCGGGGCTCTTGGCGTCGCCGCCCTCCTTGGAGCCGTCGGCGGACTCGGCGGACGGGTCGGGCAGGCCGGGCAGCATGGGCATGCTGGTGTACAGGGAGTCTCTCTGGTGGTTGTGGCCGGGCGACGAGTTCTCGTCCTCGGTGTGCTCGTTGGTGAGTAGCGGGAAGAAGCTGTCGCTGTTCTCCTGCGGGATCCTCCGCCGGGACGACGAGGAGGTGGTGGCGGACGAGAAGGGGTGGTGGGGCAGCGGGAGGGGAGGCGGCGCCGACTGGTGGAGGTGATTGTGGAGGTTGTCCACCGCCTGCAGGGACGGCGGCGGACGCTGCGGCAGCAGCGGGGCGTTCGACTCCTCGCGGATCAGCTCGAGGCCCAGGCCCTCGTCGTGGTGCGGGCCGAAGGTGGAGTGCTCGTCCAGGCTCAGCGCCACGTTCATGCCCATCCCCACCCCCAGGCCCATCCCGTAGCCGCCGTCTTTGCCGCCGTTGCTCACGTTGTTGACGAGCTTGTTCATGAGGTTCCGGTTCTGCTCGGTCGAGCGCTCGTGGGAGTTGTTGAGGTAGGAGGGGATATAGTTGGAGGTGAGCTCTTTCAGGATCTTCTTTTCCAGGGTGGTCTCCTTGTGGTTGTAGCCCCGATCGATGATCTGCACGCAGTCACTCATGTACTCGGCGCTGGCGATGCTGTAGCTGTTGCCATGGTTACCATTCAGTGGTAGAGTATCCATGACACTTGTATCCCGGGCATTGTTCAGGATTCCCTCTGGAATGACAAACACGGGGTCGGGGGGTTGGGGTTGGGGTTTGGAGTGGGCGAATGAGAACGGCAAAATCTGATGAGATGTAATTGCCGCAGCTAAATGTCAGCCATTGTTACAAACACAAATTACAGCCATCAGACGGCGGAGCTCTGGTACTCTGAATCATGTCCTGACACTCACAGTTCTCTGGATCACATGGAGAAGATATGCAATGAAACATCATCACACACACTTACCTCGTCTCACACACACACAAAAACAACTTCTATTAAAACACAATCGATGGTGGTGATGGAAACACTCACACGGGACGACACGAACCTCAAAACACGGCACACAAAAAGGACGAAGCAGGCAAACGGAGGAAAAAAAAGAAGCCATGCACTTAACTCTCACAGCGTAAAATTTGGACCCCGACCATATTGTCCCACGTGAGCGATGGCGGGAAATAAAATAACGTGAGCTCAGCTAACCGTCCCCGAGGAGGCTCTCCGTTCCCTCTACGTGGAACCTTCATATTTTATCTCCTCGGCCGAGCCCATGCTATCAACATCAAAGCAAACGTTTGAGGATAATTCAGACTACCTCGGACAAGGCCATCCAGCTTGTTAAGTGTCAAGCCCCCGCCGTCTGACCTCTTGAAAATTTGACAAGACCTTCAAGAAGTGCGCCGGCTTGATCAAAGCGAATGGTTTAAAGAAAAAAAATAAAAATAAATAAGTGCATGAACAAAAGGCGCGGCATTCTGGGAGGAAAAAAAAGGATCGATTCATATTGATGCGCCTCATGAAATGTTGATATCAGTGGATTCGCTAACGGGACAAAACATCTCTGCTACGGGAACGACAGTGTTCTCATTAAGCCCCGAGTGAAAAGAAAGTAAAAGCCAAAGTGAATTACATTTGATAAGCAATGTTTAGTTTGACTCCCATACTTGTCTCTCTGTAGGGCTCTTTTAGGGACAGCATGAGGGGAAGGAAAGAAGAAAAAAAGAAAACACAATAAGCATAACAGTGACAGGTAGAAAGAGAAATGTGCACACACATATGCAGATGATGCATCAGGAAAACGTTTCTGGAACGTCACCACGCGAAACCTCTCAGAACCTCGGCGTTATCTCTTAGCAAATATATAGATTTTGTTTTTTTTTTAAAGAAGTGCTGTAGCTTTTTATTTTTGCAGGATCCCGGCAAAATGCACTTGAGCGTCGGAATGCGCCGATAAATCTTTTGACGCATTAGCATTTTCATTCTTCCAGATATTTCTTTCCCCATCTACGGCGATGTAAGTGAATTATAGCCCTTCATCGCCAGCCTCCGACGCCAGCACTTGTATTGCATACATAAATTATCCGCCGATCAAAGCTCCCTGTGAGTTTTTATCTCAGTTTTACACGAGTTTCCCCCCTCGCCCCTCCTAGTTTTACAGACTCACAAAGTTACGGCGATCTCATATCGACTGTTCGGAGCCGGAATAAAATCACAACAGTCGGACTGATCCGGAATAAAAGCGGATGCCGGCGCATCTGATGTTTGTATCTGCGCCGATTTATCAACAAGTAGCGCCTAAACTCACATATCGAATTTATGAAATAAAAAAACGGCGTCTTTCTGTTTCCCTTTCAACACAAACGATTTTAAATTAGCAGTTTCAATGACATTCATCACAATGTTTGACAGCAGCATTAAACAGAATGAAAGCACTTAAAAAAACAACAACAACAAAACAAAGAGACAGAAGACGTGGCACACAGGCTTCACCGACAACATCGGAGCACATTTAAAATAAATGACTGGTGGTGCATCCGGCTCCCTGTGGGCAGCCATTCTTGATTTCAGAGGATTTCCTCATTTTTGTTTTCTGTGTTGGCCAAACAGCAACGACTTACCAGCTGCAGGAGCCGAGACGCACCACCAATGAGGAAAAAACCCCACAGCGAAACAAACCTGTGGGGTTTTTTTTTAGCGGTAAAGCAAATAGTTCAAGACATCTAGAGCAGTGTTTTCTTTAATTAAAGCCCTGTAGAAACTCTAGAGGGTTGGTTCTTCTAGCTCTAGTCCAGTTTTGGGAGCAAAGAAGTGCCACCGAACAGTTTCTCCAGGACCAGGCGTGAAATAAGAATAAAAAAAACACTGCTCTAGCCACAATGTTAAAGAATGAAAAGAAGCTAGCACACCTTGTGTGTTGTACATGCCCAGAGGGTTGTTATAGACTGCCGATTCCCCAAGCAATGTATTATAGGGATTGTTAGTGCCATGAGGACGTAGGAGTGCATTAGGTATAAGATGGTTAGCCATAGCCCCTGGAGCAGCCAGAAAGAGACAGAGTGAGACAGAGAGGAAGAGACAGGAAAAAAAAGGTAGGTGGGTAGATAAGTCGAGATATAGAGGGAAAGAGAGAGAGAACATACATATCAGTTTGGCAGATGCAGCTGAGCAATGACAGCCATTAACATCCAAATGATCATTAATGTGTGGGGGGCAGGGGGGGAGGTTTGGCTACATGGAAGAGCTGAACCGACGTGGCTAATGGCACCGATGGAAAGTGTGTTAATTGGACCGCCGAAGCCCCCCCCACCCCTCTAGTTTTTTCTTTTAGTGCTTCACATTGAGGCGGCGTGTCAACAGACAGAAATTACAAAGAACATGGCCGACACCACACATGTACTGTTACAGCTCAAACAGGACAGAATACAGTCTCAGGACATTATTAAGTCTTTTAGAGGCGAGAAGTGATGAATGCTCGGAGGTTTGAGAACCCATTTCTGCATAAATAAGGCCGTCATCAAGGTTTTCATTCAAGTCCTAAAAGTACACGCTTCATTTAAAAAAAAATGGATAAAAATAAGGTACTTGGCCATTTATTTTCTGTTGAGGAAAATGATGTAATGTTGCTTATCTGCAAATGACTGAAACCAGCGGAGCAACAATGGATGTGCGTGGCAGGGCTACAAATAGAAAGAACATTACTGTCTGGAGTTTGCTGAAGATTACGTGGAAGACTGTTGAAAAATGATCTGTGTAAAGATGAGATCATGTTATAAATGAGAATTTTTACTATTCGGGGAAAAGACAACACTGCATCAGAACCTTATCTAATCTGTGAGGCATGGCGGTGGCAGCATCATGGGGGTCTGTTTTTGCTCCATCTGGGTCAGATTGGCTTGAAATCTACTGATGGAACAATAAATTGCACAACTTATACTTCTCTCAGGAAAGCTATCTGTGAACTGAATCTCAGGAGAATAGGGGTGCACCGAATAATTCTTAATTTATTACCGCAGCACAATAACTGCAGTCAATATTTCTTGTGAATAAAGTGAATATTAGCATATTGTTGTTGTCTCAGTTGTTTGTTTGGGTTTTCTTTCCCAGCTGTTTGGGCTTCTATGAAAATCTAATGATGTTTCAGGTCATATTGATGCAGAAAAATAGAAAAGTAAAGGGTTCGCAAACATTCAAACAACAGCGTTGGAGAAGAAATGCTAAATGCTAAATCATCCTCCCCGACTTCACAATGATGAAATTAGGTTTCAATGTTTGGATTTTTCAGAAAAATGTGATTAACTTGTGTGTAGATTTAAATTAACATAATCACTTTTCCTTATTGATAATATAGAGGTTGCTGCTGAAGGTTAGCATTGTTTAGCTACGTTAGCATCTCTGTCTAATTCTGTGAAATATAACCTTTAAAAGACAGCCTTACCGATAAAATTGACGTCACACATGAAGTACAAAATACTATGTAAATAAAAGGTGGTGTTAGAAGTAAATAACGGTCTAATGTCACATTTTACTGTCCACTAGCTAATTAGGCTAGCATTAGCTTAGCCTAGCTCAAGATGGTAAATTGTTGCCATTTTATGTTTTTCTTTTTAAAAAAAATAACATATTGCTGGATTTGTGTTTAAATAATCCCTGTTCAATGGTTTGTTGTGAATCACATATTGCTTTCTGACAACATAGAGGCTGTTACTGAATGCTACCATCGTTTAGCAACGTTAGCATGTTGTTGCACTGAAAATATACAAAATAGCATATAAGCTAACAGGTCAAAAAAGGTGATGCTTGAAGGAAATAATGGTCTAATGTTAGATTTTACTTTCAACTAACTCGTGAAGCTAGCGTTAGCTTAGTGAGCTAACTCCGGCTGGTAAAATTTGCCAGGAACCTTTGTAATTTTGGCGAACAAAATACCCAATAAGATTTTTTTTAAATGAATAATTTATTGCTGGATTTATGTTTAAATAATCCCTGTTCAATGGTTTGTTGTGAATTGCAGACTGCTTTCCTACAATTTAGAGGCAAGTGCTTAATGCTACCATTGTTTTGCAACATTAGCATCGCTGTTTTGCTGCTGCATTGAAAACTTACAAAATAGCATGTAAGCTAAGCAGTCAAAAAAGGTGATGCTGGAAGGAAATAATGGTCAAATGTTAGAGTTTACTTTCAACCAATTCATGAAGCTAAGGCTAGCTTAGTAAGCTAACTCTGCCAGGTAAAATCGCCGCTTGGGTTTTTCAAAATAAATAATTTATTGCTGAATTTATGTTTAAACAATCCCTGTTCAGTGGTTTGTTGTGAATTGCAGACTGCTTTCCAACAATTTAGAGGCTGTTACTGAATGCTACCATTGTTTAGCAACGTTAGCATCGCTGTTTTTACTGCTGCACTGAAAACGCACAAAATAGCATGTTAGCTAAGCAGTCAAAAAATGCGATGCTGGAAGGATATAGTGGTCTGATGTTACTTAAGTTAGCGTTAGCTTAGCTCTGCCATTTCAGCAAACAAAATGGCCGCCGGAAACAAACAACGGGCCTGCTTTGTGTCTACCTCTGTTTCATAAATAACTAAGAGCTTCGAGGTAGAGTCGAACGCAACGTGAAAATAAAAAACCCTCGACATGCAACAGAATCAAGGAGGCTGAGCAACAGTTAAAACGCTGCGCCGCCGCCGCTGCTGCTGTTGTTGTGATTATTGCTTCTGGCGCTGCAGATCTTTCTGAGCTGAAGTGGTGTAATATTTCCTTCTCTCCAAAGAGCCAAAGTTCAATATTATCTCATTCTCTTTGTGCTGCTTGCAGAAATAACCTTTGAATGAAGTGATATGTCCTCTCTTTAGTCGAGGCGGTCATTACTTTGCCTCAGCCTCGCCTCCTTCGCACAAACACAACAGAGGCTCATTTTCTATTCATGCGATGCTTCGTCTTCAGATACGAGCTGCCAGGATCTCGCCCGGATGACTCATCAGTTTCCCGTCCACATAGCAGCACACCAAAGCAGCAGCAACCTTCGCAGTCTGAGCCCAGTGATTAGCTGCACATTTTGAAGGCTGCAATCTTAAACATGAATGCAGCAGATTCCCCTAATGTTTGTTTTTTTTTTTTTATTTTCCTCTCGCTGATGATAAAAATAATTTATTTCCCAGCGTTTGAATACATTATGCGGGAATATCAAGTGTGCCGAAAATATTTGCGTTTCCTGTTTACAAGTTGTTGTTTTCTTCCCCCTCTCCTTCCTCCTTCCTCCTCCTCCTCTTCCTCCTCCTCCTCCTGCAATGTCAAGATGACATGATGCTATTATTTTTAAAGAAGCCAAATTGGAGACTTGTGAGCGCGACACATATGCTGAAGCTGGTAAACATCTTTTATCTGCTACAACAGCAATTAGATCCTCCGGCAGAGTGTGCTGTTCTTTTGTGATGCTCCCAATCTGTCACACCAATGGAGAAAAGGTTGTTTTAATACTTCTTTTTTAAGTTATTTCTATTTTTTTTTTTTTTGGATCTGGCTTCTAATTGCGCAAATTCCTTCCATGTTGGGATAATGAAATAAAGGACTTACAGTGCTGTTGTTTCGTATTAATTAGGCGCAGTGTAATTTTTTTTACTTGGGAGACAGAATGTTGTTTTGATTTTTGATTTTTATTTTTTTGAAAAACCAGTAATTTGTTTGCCGCCGCCGCTCGGTCTAATTACAGTGTATTCTATAAACACCAGCCCCCTTTTCAGAGCCTCCCGATGACAGATTCCCCCCACTTATTGTGGGTTTTGTTGGAATTGGACGATTTCCAATAAGAAAACAAAAAACACCCCCTAAAAATAAAAATCAGACTGATTGTGCGGCAATAATCCTGAACGCCGGGTAAACTGAACATGCTATCAGCTCTCAAGAGCGTCAGCTGCAAGAAGAAGAAGGGAATGAAAAGGACGAATCAGCTGCAAATATTCGCTCCTCGACTCGTAATTCTTTAATAACAACACGGGAGAAGTGCAACTCTATGTGCATCTGTTCCTGATGACGCCGGAGCTGCAGACTCACTCTGATCCAGGCCTGATAGGAAGCCAGAGGGCTGCAGAAGAGCATTAAGACTTTTTATTTTTTTTGTCTTCATGGAAGATCCATGTAGACTTTTGCTCAACTCCAACCTCCAGCCTGATGGAAGCTGCGCCTGTTGATGGTGCTAAGCTGAGTGGCTAATTATTGAGATCGTGACACTTCCTCACTGTGTCCAACATCAATCCATCACTGTAACTGTGCATTAGCGTCGACGCGAGCAGGCGCCCGGAGCGAATTTAGAGAGCGAGCCGAGTGCCGAACTCCAGCCCTCTATCAAGAGATGTGACGACCGGGCGGGGGGGAGGAGGAGGGATGCCAAGCCGGCGCAGGCTTCTTCTGTCGATTTGCTGCACAACCTGAGAGACTTCACAGTCAGAAGCATTACGCTAAAACGCTCTTTATTAATGCGCTCCTTAGACGGGGAATCTGCTGAATTAATGCTGCTATCCGGCGCCGCTCCTGAGACGATTCCTGGTTTCTGTTTTGCAGTCGGATGAAGCCAAATTTGCAAAATGCATGCTGAGAGTCACCCAGGACGTGCTTCCTGATGGAGTCTTACAGCTTCTGGATCTGATTATTTAAGCCACAAACCTGCACTCGCTCTCAAACAAAACGCGTTGCAGGTTCTTTAACTTTGTGGTGTTTTCCTGCACTTTTTGTTTTTGCCTTTTTCGGCTCCTAAATTAGCATTCCCTGCAAACTCTCTGCTGCTTGGCTGTTTTTTTAAGTTTAATTATGCAGACTGTATCTGGCCATATCAAATAAACCATAAATAAATAACGTCTCCACCACCTCGTCCTTTTTTAGTTGCCTTTAAATGATTGGTTTAATCACAAACATGACACATGGTTTTTTTTTCTGCAGCAGCACAACTTTGACTCTATCTGGCATTCACGACCACGTCCAGAATCCTATTGACAGCATCTCATTTCTTCTCACACTCCCAGAAACCTTGCTTTAGAATTTGCGAATAATTAACACGAGTGTTGGGAAAATAAAATAAAAATGCATGTTTTGGTTTTATTTGGCTGATTTTTTTTTTGCCTTGACTTGGATTTTAAAGCATCACTCGTGGAGGAACGGAGAAGAAGAAAAAATTAATTCTGTGAAGCCCTTGAGATGCATTAAGAGGAAAGCAATTATAGCTGCAATTCATGAAATGAGTGGAGAGAAAAAGAAAAAGTGTTCCTCTCATTAGTGGTGGAGTCTGAGGTGAAGGCCGGAGGAGGAGGAGCTGATGTTTGGACCAAAGTACCTCTGTTGAGCGACGCGGAGCTGTTGATGTCGCCGGTCATGAACGAGGACTCGGACTGCTTCCTGACCGTGTCGTTCCACATTCGGCGGATGCGGCTCTGCGGAGACAAACAGCAAATCAGGACGCTGAACATCTGAACATCTGAACATCTGAACATCTGAATATCTGAACATCATCCAGACATGAGCAGAGAACAACGCTTCAACACAGACAGAAAGAAAGAAAAAAGGAATGAGGCCAGCAGTGGGGAGAAGTAACCTCCAATTAAAGACGAGCATCAGTGCCGGGGTAGGTGGAGTCAATAATAAAGTCATCAGTCAGGCTCTCCGAGTCGGTGTCTTGGTTTGCAAAAGGCTCAATCCAAGAGAGTTCACCCTGGTTAATTATGATGGAGTCCCATGGGCTGTTGCACAAGCTAAGGGTCTGGAAATCCAACCGGAGAGATGAATCCGCTCCATCCCGTGCCAGGCGGGCTTGGCAGAAGATTTCTCACACTGATATATAAAAAGGTTCGGAGGCGGCGAGAAGAAAATAAAGCTTTAAATGGTTAAAAGTCCTGAGAATGAAAGAACCAGTCGGTGGTTGTGATCAAGTGGAAAATAATGTGAATATAGAGGATTGTTAGCTTCCTTCTTCTTCACACTGAGGTTTTATTGACATTTTTGTCCTTCAGGTCCTGAGAATGAAGTGTTAGAAATAAAATCTGAAACTGCACAAAAGATAGTCATGCATCAGAGCCAGTGTTGGTGTAAATCATTGACTTATGACGTTCGTAATAATAATAAAAAATCTACTTAACCACTAATTTGATGGAAAATAAACATTTTTGTGACTTTTTAATTTAAAAAACATGTGACTCATGTAAACAAACTGACATTAGAGGATTAAAATCTCGAAAATAAATGAATATTTGGTAATTATGATCAAAACTGAAGGTCCTGGAAATAATCTAATCTGATAAAAGTGGAAAATAATATAAACTGATGGACTTTTGATGGCAGTTTTTTGACACTGGGAGGGCATTTTTGTGTTTAAGGTCCTGAGTATGAGCTGTTATAAAAAAATCAAAAATTATATAAAAAAGTGCAAATGTTAAGTGCATATCATTGACTCATCTCAGGCTGTGATGATTTAAAACAAATATTCTATTTGCCACTGTTTGGCGATTAGAGATTAGATGGAAAATAACATATTTTTTGTGATTTTTTTTTTATTATAATAAAAAATGAATCATGTAAAGAAACTAAAATTTAAAGGATTAAATCTTGAAAATAAATTATGATCAGGATAATACGGTAAAAGTGGAAAATAATATCAACATATGATATTTTGACAGCATTTTTTAATAAAATAAAAATCTCTCATAGCATAAAAAATAATAACACATTGCTGCTAATCATCAACATATCCCAGATTGTAATAAAACAATAAAAAATTAAAAAATAAATAAATCCACTTAGTACTTATTATTTGGGGGTAAAAAAAAATTCTGGTGTCTTTTAAAAAAAACAAAAATAAAAACAACAGTCATATTGTTTAAGCACACCGGCATTTAAATGGTTAAAACCCTAAAACTTAATACATATTTGATAGTTATGATCAGTATTGACATTGATTAAATAATGTGACTTTGTGTAAACGGAAAATAACATTCATTTACATTATTTTTATGGAAGTCTTGATGAGGAGCACATTTCTTGTCCTTGAGGACCTCGTTAGAACTTTTTAAATTGACTCCCTGAAGGTCAAACGCTTCACTTGAAGTCCTTCAGGATGAGTTGGACGTCGTTCCTGTTATTAGCAGCAACACGACGCTCAGCGAGCTAATAGAGAAATACAGTAACAGGACGACGTCCGGCGCTCATGCAGGTTTCAACAACAGACCCATCCGGGGGGGAAATTGTCTATTGATCTGGGTGGATTTATCCGCCGCCCTCCCAGTTATCCAGCCATCATCTGAGCTTAACAGCCTCACCTGTTCCACGTGTCGGCTTTTACTGCAGCCCCTCCACCACCGACAACGCCAGGGCTCCAGTACGGCTCCCTGGAGGACCCCCGGCTGGACGCTAACCCTATAAATCCAGCTAATCGATGAGGTCGGCCGCAATCTTTTAATTAAACAAAGCTCGTTCATTTTGACGACTCAACCGTCTGAGAAGCCGTCGGCGGCTTCGGAGGGCATGTTGGAGAACACGTTTAAATATAGAAGTGTTTCCCAAATAACAGGTGCTAATTGGGTTTTTTGCACCCCGATGATTACAGTCTGACTTCTATCAGCGATTAGCAACAACACTGATCCTGATGCAGTCCTATTGTAAGTGCTGTGTTGGATTAAATGATAATAATAAAAGAAATGTGGTCAAAAAATGCCATAAAAACATCAGATATTCATATTATTTCCACTGTATTGAGTTACATCTTCTAACCAGCATCAGTCGTGATGACAACAACGAAGTAATTGTTCATTTTCAAGGTTTTAAGCTTCAAAATGTGTGTTGGTTTCTGCAAAATGCAAACAAAAACAAGAAAAAATTGAAGTATTTTCCATCTATTTAGTGGTTAGTGAGTCTTTTTTGGTGCAATGTCAGATTTGAGAAAAAAACCAAACATAAAAAAGCAATAATTCATAGTTAAAGACAAAAATGTGAATAAAAATATCAATGACCATAAAAAAAAAACCTGCCATAAATAACAGTAAAAACTCAAATAATGAGATTTTCAACTCCATGTTTTCAAACTAATCACATGTGACGAGGTTCTGTCAGGAAAATGAACCTAATCTAACCTTAAGATCATGATATTTCATTAAATTTTTTAAAAATTGGCCAAAAATAGATAATTTCTTCTAAGCAGATTCTGTAAAAAACAAAAAATTCCGTGCTTTGTGTCACAACTGAAAAGGCAGGAGTGGCTCAGCTGAGATCAACGGTCAGGAGACAGAAATTCAGAGAGTTTTTGGGTAAACTGGTCTGAACTGCAGGCTGTGTAGAGCAGACAGTGGGGAAAGTATGGAAAAATGTAAATAGCAAAACATCTATAATACATAGAGTCGCTTTCCCAGTCTTGATAACACCTGTGGACGACGACTTTAGTGCTATTAATGTATGATTTATGGATTTATAATTAAAGGGTTTGATGCATTCTCAGATCTCAGCCACTCCTCTGGTGACAACAAGATGATTCAAACTGACAGAAGAGACTCAAAAATGACTCCTATTATGTAATCAGTGGTATTTATCCTTTAACCTCTGATCATCATCACACCTACGTTATTGTTAGATGCAGCTAAAAGTGGCAGCGCTGCTTTTAAAGACCTTGTTTTTGAGCTTAATTAAGTCATCGGCGGCACCATCATCATCATCAGCAGCTATCACCTAAACTCCCGCTGACATCTACACCGAGAGCTTCCCGAGCTTCGAGCGTTTTGTTTTTTGTTTTGCGGCGTCAACCTCCGGCCGACTCCAGGCTCGTATATTTTAACAGCTGATCTCATGAACACATCGTACACGGTGTCGTCCCCTCAGAGCCCAGCGGGACGCAGATGGGCTGAAAATGACACCGCTATTTCTTCTTCTTCCTTTTTTTATTTATTTTTTCTGCGGACAGATAGAAACTATTCATAGCCGACGGGTTCGAATGTACTTTGCTGATTACACATTCATTTAGAAGCTTCGGCGTAAGCAATAAACAGGCACGTCGTCTCTCCGAGTGTTTCCATTCCCGTCTCCTTGGTACGAGCGCGAGGTTAGAGCCGTCTCGTCAAAGCACTGTGTATAATTAAACGCTTTGATCTGTATGCGGAATCCAGCTTGTACCGTGGGCTGCCACTGCACGCTCGACTCCGAGGACTATTTATAATTGAACACTGGGAGGAAATCACACTCTTTGGAATATGGATATGATGTTCAATTATGGCGTATCGTGGCAATTCATCCTATACTTCATGTCAATGTGGGAGGAATCCATTAACAATTTACTTTACAAGGAGCCTTACCAGTTACGCGTCACAATTCACACGTCTTGGCGGCGACGGAGAGCGAGATCTGAATCTGAACGGATTCCTCGCAGCTAAGAAAATGTTTAGCTTCACTGGAACTCCATTTCACCTCTCACGAAATCTACAAACGTATTCGTTAAAGTGCTTGTTCTGTGTGTTATTGAGGATGAAGCGTTCCCCTGCCTGTAGCTACACGACTCGCAAAGAAAAGCCTATTTTTAGCAAAGATTTAGCGGTAATCCGAACAGAATAAGCACCAATTTGCTCCGCGTTGGGTTAAAAAAACACAAAAGCGGGTGAAAGATTTTGATGTAAACAGAGAAAGATGTGGTTGAACCTGCGACCCGGTCGAGTAGCGTCCCGGAGCCCGGGAGGCGGTTCCCTTCCCGGAGCCGATGGAGCTGTCCACGCTTTTGCCACTGCAGCAGTGAGTGCGAAGGCATTTCCCGTACTCCTTACGCACCTGGAGAACAAAAAAAACAAAACAGCACATGCAAATCAACATCTTTTGCTGTTAAAACTAACTTAAAGGTCCCTTTTCAGGAACACGTTTTGCACATTTTCAGCTCAGTTGTGTCATCTTCAGTGTTTTAGCGCCTGTAGCTTTAAATGATAGTCTGCTGGCCCCGCCCCTTTCAGGAAGTAAACTCCCTCTGTGTCTGCGATTGACGGCAACACACCAATTATTTCAAATAACACATTTACAGTTCGGCTGATGTCTTTAAATCGTGTTGGTTGGGTTTGTGGTTATAAAATCAGTAGTTTAGCTCTGAAGTGGCTGCACATGGACAAATCGTCTTACCAGGATTTTATTGTTGTCTGATGACAGAAACTGAAAATATATAAATGAAAACTACTTTACTGGGAACTTAGCTATATAATAGTAAAGTATACATAAGCACAGAGAGCAGGAGAGAAGCTAACAGATTAAAATGGTGTTTATTGGTTTCTAATTCAAGTCTCCACCATGTCTGAATGTCCCACAGAGCAGTCGAAGCTAATGGTAGCCACATTAGCAAAAACAAATGCAAAATTTTGTGAATGTTGTGCATCAAAAATACAAGTCGTCCACTGGATGTTCAGTTGCTGAGATGCTGGGAGTGCATGGAGACTGTTGTGTTCACTCTTGCAGGAAAGGACAGTTTAGAGTTAGCAGAAGATACTCTAGAGATGACAGGAAGCTAATCTGATGGCTAACCTTTAAGGGATGGGGCAAGCAAGTCAAGCAAACGTTTAGCTTGACTACTTGGAAACTTGGCTGGCTCAGATTTTGTATGAAAAAAATGGATTTCCACCACATGGGACCTTTAACTAGTTGCACATCTCTTGAACAAGCCCGTACCTTCTTCTGCAGCACACAGTGGAAGATGAAGATGAACATCCCCTGCAGGGAGTTGAAGATGGTGAAGAGGTAGGCCATGACCACCGTGCTCTCGTTCACGTACATGAGTCCAAAGGCCCAGGTGAGGCCCAGCAGACACAGCAGGGCAATGGCGCCGATCACCCACGATCTGGAAAAGTCAAGAAACACAGCCTTAGACAAAAAGCTTTGTAAAAAAAAAAAGCCGTGGAGCTGAGGGGAAGGAGTGTAAATTCTACCGAAATACAAACGGAGAGTTTGATGTCAGGAACAGTGAGTGTAGGTTGTAAAAAGGAATCAGTTGAAGACAGCACTTGGTCCAGTTACAGGGAGAAAAAGGCACCAAACAAATGAAAGGGGAAAGAAAAATGATGACAGTAATCCTTATTCTGCACTCTTTCAAACACCATTCAAATATTATCACAGAAATACTTTTTTTTCTCGGTTAAAGACGACCCACGAGTCGGTCACATATTGGATCCCGTTGCCTTGTAAACACTTAGTGACGCTGAAGGTGTAACTGAGATAAACGCCCTTGACAATGTTGTGAAATGAAGAGCTCTGTTTTTGTGCAGAAGTGGCTTTGTGGTGTGTCGGTGGATGAATACCTGGTTGTGTTTAGAAAATCCGTGTGTGGACATGAACAAGATCTTAGCCTTTCATTTAAGAGGCGACAGCTAATTTATGCACAGCGGAACAATCAGACCGCCTTCATTAAACGTGGTGCAAACGTCACCTGCTCTTCTGCACATCCGCCGCCGGTCGTGTCGGGGCTCTAGCCTCCAGGTTTGTGTCATCCAGAGGAGGTGTCGAGATGCGTGCCGCGGGTTAATCGACAGCTGCTAGCAGCAACAGGACGAGGCAAATTAGAGTCACGCTGGGTCGCGTACCGCCGACGGTTAAATGTCACGCCAGCGTGACGGCGAATACGTTTATTTTACTTATTTTTATGCAACAGGTTGGCC